CCCAGGCTCACGTGCACCCCTCTGCCTTTCAGATCAACGCCGTGCGGGCCGTCGTCCCCAACAAGAGCAATAACGAGATCGTCCTGGTGCTGCAGCACTTCGAGAACTCGGTGGACCGCACGGTGCAGGCCTTCGTGGAAGGTAACCCGCCTCTCTGCCCCTCTCGTCTGCGGGGTGGCGTGGGACTTTGCCGGCTTGCCAGGCAGGAGAGACCCGAGCGTACGGATAACGTTAAAGGCCGAATGAATAACCCTCCACCCGTTTTCAAACTGCCGCATGCGATGCGGGGTCGTGGGGGAGCCGGAGCCTATCCCAGCAAGCAGCGGTGCACGCCAGGGTACACCCTAGACGGGACGCCACACGCACACGGCGGGGCCAGTTGTCCCAGAATTCAGTTAACCTACCAGCTTGTCTTTGGACAACCGGAGCACCCAAATGCAGGGAGAACATGTTAACTCCCCACCGATAGCACCCCAGGAATTGAAGCCAGGGCCCCAGTTTTGCGATCCAGCCATGCTGACCCCTGTGCCACCTTGCCATCTCAAAGAACGATTTCGGGGGAAATTTAAATGTATTACTGCGTGCCCGTTTTTAGTTTTAAAACAACATATATGCCAAGTCCCAGTTTTGATGGGTTTCTGGATATGCACCTGTGCTGTGTCCGTCTCGAGAGGCACCCGGGCCTGTAGCCAGCGCGAGGCGTCGGCAGAGCAGACGTGACACCCAGGGTTCTGCCGGTACCTCTGTAGCGGGCCGTCTGCCCGAGGTCCTCGACTTCATAGTGGAATTACAGGTGCAGAAATCCTTGGTGATTTCAGGTGGATCACGACGTGCGGAGGCAGTGCAGGATATGGAGAATTTGCTTTGTTTTCCTGGGAGGTCCACTTCACCTAATCAGATCAGCACCATTGCTGTTGGCCTGGTCCGTAATTTCCATGTACTTTTACCTAGATTTTTGTGGCTGTGGAAGTAATATTGCTTTTGGGTCCCTCGGGGTTCTCCCAAAGAATGTGCAGGACAGCTGAGCCCCGGTTGCCGCTGGCTGAGAGGGGCACAAGCCGAGGCAGCCCTGTTTTGTAGTGTCAGAAATGGCATGAAAGCACAGGGCTCTTTTCTTGCTCCTCCCTTCTGGTCTCCCTGCAAAAGCGTTAAGGTAGCAGTTGAGCCCTGGCTTGGCACAGTCGGCACGGGCTTCCCGAGCTCTCGCCTCTGGTGCTGGAAGCACTCCTGGACTCGGAGCAGCTTTCAGCCCTGCGTGCTGCAGCACACGTTACCTGAGGCCTCATTAACCAGCGGGCGGCTCTGACCTCTCCAGGCGTAGTTCTGATCCGCAGCTCCCCGGAACGGTGCGCGGTGGAATTCGCACACTGCTGTTCCTTGTGGCCTGGGGCTATGTTGATTTAAAAAATGTAAAACCGTGCGTCGTAGTTATTTGGGGAACGGGGAAATCGGAGCCCTGCGCGGTTGCGATGCCTCTGTGATGACCTCATACGCGGGCGGTATCGCTCTTGGAAGTGAAGACGGAGCACGCCACACACAGCGCTTGGAAGCACCATCAGAACCTTGGCGTTTTTGCTAGATGAAGTTCAGGTTCCGACCAGCCCTTGTAGTGCGGTCTATTAAAATGACCTTTTCAATGCTCCACCTCTGACAAGAGGCATTTTTGAAGCTGTCTCCAGGGGCGGGGAGATGTGCCTCTTCCTCTCCGCCTGCGTCAAGGCCAGGAATCGGAGTGGCAGCTGACAGACGTCATCGCGGGTGCCTCTGTGTCAGACGAGCGCGGGAAGTGGAGGCATGTGTAAACAAGGCTCCTTGACAGCATTGGTGACTCAGCTACTTACCCGTCATTGCCAGAGGTCACACTGGGTCTTCGGTAGGGCTGCAACAAATGAACATTTTGATCATAGATTATTCAGGCAGATATTACACCGATTTCATTGGCTTAGCTGCAACTTATGGGTTGTCAATGAGAGAGGCTGTGACAATGTTTGGCATTGTTTAGCAGCATTATACCTTTATTCCATAAAATAATGAGAAATGCAAAATTTTGAAAAAGTATCAACTTAACATTAACATCTTCTTACTGCACTGTCTTTCACTCTTAATTTTTTTTAACTCTTAAAGTTTTTTTGTGCAAAAATAAAATTCAAGATTGTTCAGAGTTAAATATAAAAAAAATAAAACCGGATTCAAATAAGTCACTTGAAATCCGACTGTGAACTGGAACAGCAGCAAGTAAATGTTTCGATGGACTGTAGGATTTGCGAATCTGAGCCGCGGTGATGAACACTGATCAATAATAAACATGTAGATGATCTCTCTCTCTCTCTCTCTCTCTCGGCTGCAGTATCATTTAACTGGGTAAACACTAGTCTATTCTGATCGTGTTTTTATTTCACGAGATGAGCTTCTGTATACATAACGGTAGTTCACAAGACGAGCTATGAACAGGTGTACAGGACAAGCTATTTGTTTTTAGGCTGAGCACTTTGACGTAACCCAATCCGTGTAACACTACGACAGGGTGAGCTGCTGGTTGTTATTCACAGATTCATATCCGATAGGATGACCAGCTTTATCTCTCTTCTTGTGCAGTTCTTTGAAGAGACTCCTATCCTCATGGTGAGGGTTCAGCAAACCGAAAATATGCAGCAGTAGCATTGAACTGCAATTCTGCTAACTTGAGGCTAACGGACAAACCAGTGTGTGTAGTATTTCGCCATTGCTAAATCCTTCTAATTATTCAGAACGCTATTCTCATGACTTGTATAATTTGACAGGATACGGTGATCTTCAGGGATGTTGGTAAGGGTAGCAGGACTGGGTAGCTCAGTTTGTCGGAATACCACCCACGCCACGAACGCCATGCATTTGCATTTGTAAATTAAATACAACTCCACACTTAGTTGCTTAGTAATGAAAAGTTTGCGATTTGAGTTTGCCAGTAGTAACCCTTTTGCACAAATGTTGATTGCTAACCAGGCTATCGGTTTTCTATTCTGCGGTTACCCCAGTTCTGTGACTAACCTGGTGTGTTCTCGTCCACACCTGGATGTTTCCTTTCCAGATGCTCAAGCATGCATGTCATGGAATGCTAAATCAACCGTGCATATTCTGCAGGCTACTGTTTATTCTTGTTTTAAGAAAATGTTCCCGCACTTTGCTTCTTTTGGAACTTTCCGCCATTGTTTTTTCTTCAGCCCGTTCTCTAGTCACGACGCTGTAGCAGCATTGCCGTCCTCTTCAGGTCCCGTCATTAACTCGCTGGAGGTGGGAGGCCCGTTTGAAAATGTAAACGAAACATCGACAATGGAAATATTTGTTGACAAAATTGACTAGGGCTGAAACAATTATTCCTCGGCCTTTTGCACTAAAATATATTGTGAAAGTACAGTGTTTGAGTTTATACTACACCTTCCCTGCGTGATGGGTGTTTAATCTTGTTGTGTGGCTCACAACAGGAGGGGGGAAGAGCTGCAGTCCTCTGTCGGGACTCGCGGAGGCGCTGTGCGGACAGGCCGAGAGGAGGCGTGATGGGGGTTTTGAAATATTGAAAGCGGAAAGTGTAGTGGTTTCCAGTCCCGTTTGTTGAGCAGAGCTCGGCGCCCTCACTGGAGGCTTGCTTGAGAGCCGGTGCTTGTCACCAGTAGAAGGGTCCCTGGCTCGGCTGTGCTGGAAGGAGGTGAGGGGATAAAGAGGGAAGTGCTCAGGGAGTGCTTTCTCACTGCGAGCCCACTTCCTGTCCTGCCAACGTGCTCAAAGCCCAAAGCGGAGTCCGTGCTCCGAACTTGAAATGGCCCTTCAGTCAGGGTTCAGATACACTTTTCATTTCGAGTGACGTGTGGGATGTTTCAGGTTTCTTTTTTTTTTAGATGGTCTTAACCATGCTTAGATGTGATAATTAAAGGTTGCAGTTCTTGCGTTTGTTGCAGTGTTGAGCTCCGGTAGCCAGACTTGAGGGATGTGTGGATTTCCTTTTGAATATTTCATGCGTGCTTTTTTTTTGTTTCGCTCTTTCCTTCAGGCTATGCTGTGGAAATCCTGAAGGAATGGAATGTCACTGGGAAAAAGAAGGTAAATGCCTTAAAACGGGATTTGGCAGGATCAACTGATTTTTCACTTGGGGGAAGGGGGTTGGGCTCCGAGACAATTCTGCCCCAAAGATGGGGTGCAGCTATCCTCATCCGTCCCCTGTAATTCACCTACTGTGCATTTTGCTCGCCCCGTCTTGAGCAGCGGACGGCCAAGCACCCACACCTGTTCTGAGAAGGGGGGTGGAGGCACCCATGAGTGCTCAGACGGCAGTCACGTGACAGTACAGCATGCCAGCTGACACTAGTGTGGGGGAGGAGACCTGCACTAATGACGGCTTGTTTGGGGGGTCCAAGCCTCCAGTCCTCTCTCCAAGGGCACGAGCAAGCCCACTGACGCCAACCAGCCCTGCTCTTCCGCCTCTGACATATGCAAAGGATCTGTGAATTAACACGCAGCCTCCTATAATGAGAGCGTTTTACAGGTGTCCTTGCGCAACAGTGCGTCAATAAAGCTCCAGCAGCCGCACCAGGTCTGTATCCAGGTCTTGGCAGAGAACGTGCAGGACTCACTTAGTCCTCCCCTCTGCACTGATGTCGGGCCGAGGCCTCTGACAGTCCTGCACACACTACAAAGTACTGTCGGCTGGAATTAGGAAAAGACTGTAGGACAGCCCCTCACTCAAGCCTTGTTTGGCTTCTGTTCACTGTCCCGATGAAGAACAATACAATGGCTCTTATATCGCAGAGGAAATTCAATTTAGGAACATTTAGCTAAGAAAACAAGAGGAGATGCTTCTTATTCTTATCCAGCGGTTCAGACTCCTGACGCCAACCAGGAGTCCTGGTCCTCTCCTCCTCTGTCCCATCTGGATATTGTTTCCAACTCAAAAATGATTAACTTTTCTTTATAGTCATCCCTGGTTTCAGCAGTGCTGCTGGCCAGACCTTCAGCAAACAGAGCTCTGGTCAGTCTGTCCCCAGCTTGTTTAACGAGCTGCTGCTGTTTTATACCCCCTCTAAACAACCCGCAATAGGTAACCGATTAATAGTGCGCAGTCCTCTGGACATTCTCTGCTCGGACATTTCCCTGATCGGGATGAAGTCTGCTTGGGCTCGAACTCCAGAATTCCTCCCCTGAATGAGGACTTTTCTGAAAGCCAGCACTACTTTTGTCTCACCGGAAGCTGAGAAGGGTGAAGCCCTTTGTGCAGATGGGTCAGCTGAGGGTTTAGTTCTCCGGGGGAGTTCAGAGCTCACACAACAGGAATTGGGACCAGCCAAGGAATCTGTAACCACGCACTGAGGTTCACCCGAGGAGCAGGAGGCGTCTTGGAATTCTGAGCCTTTCTGTCCGTTTCAGCCCAAGAAGAAGAAAAAACCCAAGCCCCAGGCCGAGAGCAGCGCCGGGCCCGGGCTGGGGGACCCCTCGCAGCCCCCCGACACGCCCACCGACAAAGACGGG